CACTCAGATACGCACACACAAACACTCGCAGACACACACACAAACCCACACACATCTGTCTGTCTGCCCGTCTGTGTCTTCTCCACCCCGTCTCCCCCCTCCCTCTCTCTCTCTCTCTCTCTCTCTCTCTCTCTCTCTCTCTCTCTCTCTCAATGTCATACAATTATTTTCTTTGCTCTCGTTTGTGACGTAAATCACGTAAAGGTGGCCTGCGCTCTAAATTATATTGTGGCAGCCCAGTCTCAATCATTTCCTAGCAACTGCATGTAATGTTGTAATCTCTTTACATTTACAATAAAGCTGTAGTCTCACCGACCCTAAGTAAAACCCATCTTAATAACAATAATTAAACAACAACTTTAAAACCATGTATTACTGACTTTGACAATAATCCTACCGAGGGGGGAGCGAAAAGGGGGAGGGGGAGGGGAGACAGGCAGAGAGACTGACAGAGACAGAGAGAAAGAAAGAAATACAGAGAGAGAACGAGAGAGAGAGAAACTACTCTAACTTGTATCAACAGGGCTTGTCCTTTGGGGACGTTTACGTAAAGTATTTAATCTCACACAAAGAGTGAGCGAAAATTGTTTTTTCGTGCGTGACTTTGTTCCTCTTTCAATCTAAAGCAGGGACAAAGGAAAAGAAACAGTATAAAATAGAGCTGGGCGAAGGATAGATTCCGGAACCGATTCCCACGACTTATGCTATGTAAGAAAAATTCCGACTCCTTTTTACGTAAACCAACGGTTACCAGTTACTTTGATCATTAAAATCTTCTTCTGTTTGTTTTTTTGTTGTTGTTTTTTTTTCAAGTTGATGCTTCGTAATGTTCCGAAAGCAATGTTATCATAAATCCTGAAGATGTTCGGAGCCAAACCAGGTAACCACCGGCAGAAATCACATCATTTGAAAGAACGTAAATGGGTTCGGAGTCGATTCCTACGATTCCTTGCTTTCAATAACCGGGAACCTAACCGCCCAGCACTAGTAAAGAAGTGATGGGTTGGGTAACACCAGAGATAGAATGCATGTGAGAGTGTGTGTGTGTGTGTGTGTGTGTGTGTGTGTGTGTGTGTGTGTGTGTGTCTGTCG